CCTTGGTGAATAAATACTCACCAATTCCCTTCTGTGCCCCCGTGATGAACTTATAGGCAGCCACAAGGTTGCCTCCTTGTGTTCTCCTTGCCACTTTTTAAATTAATCTTAAAGAGACAGTGTTTTTTAAATACAAAAAGCACTGTCATTTTTTTTAGTTTTCTCCTTAATTCAGTAAGAGCTTTACTATTCCTGTTCTCTCATAGATGAATCACTTAAGAGTGTCAAAAGGTTAATTTAGACCACTCTAAGTATTCTTTAATGCTTAAATGTGATAGAAGCTTGACAAGGAATGCTGTAGAGTTTTATCATTCTTTTTACAAAAATGAACATTATTTAAAACTCTAGGCCAGGAATACTCAACCTCTAGTCTGCAGGCCAAACGCAGCCTGCACATCCATCACATCTGGCCCACAGGGCTCCTTATGGGGCAGCATATTTGCCGGTGGGAAACCAGTAGCCATTAATACTGGTCCTGGCCAAAGGAGACGACCTAGTAACCAATTTAAATATAAAGGGAAGTCTAAGCGACAGCAACCATGAAACCATCATGTTCACTGTCCAATGCAAAACAGACATCTGATACCAGGATTGAAGTCTTGGACTTCAACAATGCAAATTTTAACAAGCTTAGGTCACTAGTAGGGCAAGCGCTGCAGGACAAGGGACCAAGCGCGAAAGGCGTGCACAAAGAGAGGTTGTTCCTTAAGGACACAATCCTTGAAGCACAAAGAAAGTCCATTCCCATGTGGAGAAAGGGTAACCGAAGGGCTGGGAAGCCCTCTTGGCTAAACAGGGAAATCACGGTCCTCTTAAAAAGTAAGAAAGAGGCTTATAAACAATGGAAGTTCAGGGCGGGCCCCAAGGAGGACTATTCCACTATGGCCTGCATTTTCAGGGAACAGATCAGAAAGGCTAATGTGGCGACCAAACTTGGATTAGTAATGGGAATCAAGGACAACAGCAAGTCCTTCTTTAGGTACATAGGGTATAGGAGAAAAACAAATGGGAGCGTGGAGCCACTGCTCAACATTTCAAGAGAGCTGGTTACTGGCACCTAGGACAAAGCTGAACTGCTGAATGACTACTTTGCCTAGGTGATGGTCTTTCAGTGGACCAAAGGGAAAAACATGCCAGGTAGAGTAGAGGATGAGCATGGTAGGAATAATTGCCTTCCTACTATTGCCATAGAATTGGTGTATGACCAATTAATAAAATTAGATGTATACAAGTCAGCAGGATTTCATCCGAGTACTGAAGGAGCTGGCCAAAGTCATTGCAGGCCCCCCTGGTGAAACTCTTCCGCAACTCACGGCACTCTGCAGAAGTCCCTGAGGACTGGAAGAGGGCCAATGTTGTGCCCATCCACAAGAAAGGCAGAAGGGAGGGCCTGGGTAACTATAGGCCAAATCAGCCTAACTTCCAACCCAGGGAAAATCCTAGAAAAGTTCATCAAGGAGTCTATCTGCAATAAGCTTGCAGAAGGCAAGATTCTGAATGACAGCCAGCATGGCTTTGTTGTGGGCAGGTTTTGCCTTACCAACGTCATCTCCTTCTATGACCAGGTAACTCACCACTTGGACAGGAGAGAGCAGGTTGACATTGTATACCTAGACTTCCAAAATGCCTTTGATCTAGTATCCCACAATGTCCTTGAGAGAAAATTGGAGGATTGTGGGCTTAACTGTCAGGTGGGTGAGAAACTGACTGCAGGATAGGATCCAGAGAGTCATAGTGAATGGATCAGGCAGCAGTGTCCTGCAGGGGTCGGTGCTTGGTCCAGTACTTTTCAACATCTTTATTAATGATTTGGATGTGGGGGTGAAGAGCTCACTGGCCAACTTTGCAGACAACACCAAGTTATGGGGAAGTATGGTCATGCTTGAAAATAGGCTAGTTACAGGCAGACCTAGACAGGCTGGCAAGTTGGGCGGATTGGAACCTGATGAAGTTCAATGTTGAGAAATGTAAAGTGCTCCACCTTGGGATGAGCAACCCCCAACACACCTACAGGCTTGGTGGCACCAAACTGACCAGCACCCCGAATGAAAGGGACCTTGGGGGTAATAACAGACCACAGTATGAATATGAGCCAGCAGTGCAATGCTGTAGCCAGCAGGGCAAATAATGCTCTGTTATGCATCAATCAATGCATCTCCAGCAAAGCCAAGGAGGTGATTCTTCTTCCACTATACTCAGCACTGGTGAGACTGCAGCTGGTGTCCAGTTCTGGGCACCACACTTTAACAAGGATATGGACAAGTTTGAGAGAGTCCAAAGAAGAGCCACCCGTATGATCAGAGTCTTAAAAGGCAAGCCATATGAGGAAAGGCTGAGGAACCTGGGACTCTACAGCTCGAGGAAAAGAAGGCTGAGAGGGAACCTGGTAGCAGGTTACCGTTACACTAGGGGAGTACATCAAGGGCTTGGTGAGCAACTGGTCACCAGGGCACCTGAGGGGAAAACCAGACGTAATGGCCACGAACTCCTGGAAGACTGTTTCAGGCTCAACATTAGGAAAAACTTCTTCACAGTCAGGGTGTCCAGACTGTGGAATAAGCTCCCTCACTTCAAGAGGAGACTGGACAGTCACTTTGCTGGGGTCACCTGACCCCCAGTTATCTTTCCTGCTTGGTGCAGGGGGCTAGATGATCTTCTAGACTGATTCATTTTTAGAAGAATCAAAGTGATATAGGGAGCGCTCTTGCACAGTTCACTTGCCTGGGGACATGATGAACATGCTTGGTAAATTGCTCGAGTATATATAATGCTAAGTTTGCATATAAATAAAATGCAAAATTGAAGAAAAATTGTTAACCAGGTTTCAGATTTAAAATAAAAGCAACAAAACAGAGTTAAATAAAACTTGAAGCTACCATCTTTCAAGTCTGACAGCATTTTTATCATTCGTTAGGTTAAGGTGTTATTTTGTACACTACCCTCCAGCACTTCCAAGGCCTTTGTTTTCTCCTCCTCCGAACCTTCATCGGCGCTGTTTAAAGCAATCCACATTATGAACTACAACACACAATATTGGTTTTGAATGGTAACTGAATGGTTCAGTCAAGTCTGTTTCAGACTTGCACATTTCTAAGTATGAAGCATAGAAGATTGATGCTTTGTAAACGGACTTCCAGGTTAACAGTATTAAGCAGATTATTAAAAATATTTCACCAAAAGAACTAAAAACTTTAGGGATTTAGGAGTATGCAAGCAACATTCTTTCCCACAAATTAAAATAAAAAGTAACCAGAGTACTTCTCGGTGAACAAATTAATAATTTTATTTCCATCTGTTAAAGATTTGCCTACCAGTTGAGTCTAAAGTAGACATGACATACAGACATGAAACAATTAAATACAAGAAAACTGGAACTGTGCACAATGACAAGACAAACATTTTTATAAGCAAAAAAACCCCCAAAATGCAATGAACTTTATATTATCTATCAGTTCTTGCAGATACTATGTTATACTGAAACAATGTCATTGAACTGGAAATTAAAAATATATCACTTATATTTTGGGTTTTTTTATTATAATGAAATGCTAACATTTGCCATTCTGCTATTGAAAGTTTTAATTTTTTTTTTCAAGTACACAAAATTTGTGGCACTTTATAGGATTCACAAAAGCTAAAAACTTTTGTTAAATATTCTAGTTGATGGTATCTAAGGGTCCAAGTCAGTTTAGATATTGATTCACAAAGTGGTACCAAGAAGTGGTGTTTACATAGAGGGAATTGTGCAAACTCAGTTCAGGCTAGGGCTAGACCTCAATGAAACATCTGGGGACATGCTACTCAACCCTGTCAATCTTTTTACTGTCTTCCCTTCACATAATAGTTTCCAAAGTAAAACTGACCTTAAGTTTTTTTTGAAGAACCTATTAGAAGGAAGAAGAAAGTTTGTGGCCCTAAATTTCTAGACAGTTTCATGCTGGGCTGTTGCTCAGAAGTGTCCACCACACCCAAGGACAATCTCCAAGATGATGTTTAGTCTCTCAGTTTACTTTTCATGAGACACATACAAAGCCCAAAGCTTGTTCTCTATTTAAAAGACAGGAGACTGCAATGAAATTCTCTAGACTTTTTTTTCTAGAAAAAAAGTCTTCATTTAGCTGTTGTTTTACATCATTCAGTGGACAGGCAAGCAACTACAGGAGATTTATATCCTTCAATATATACAGGGAACTGTCAGCTACATGGTCTGGAGTGCAGCAGGCTTTCCTAGGTAACAATACCAAATCCCTGATATACAAGGACCAGAACACAGGAGGTCCAGTAGCCTTTATGGAATAAGGGCCATTCACATACTAACATATCTGGGCAATATTCCACCAAAAAAAATTTTTTTTAGTCTTGTGTCACCATAGCTTTTATCTAAGTTTAAATGTCTCACTAGAGAACATGCTGCTTTAAAGCAGAACTCCACCAAACCCCTAGTGAGGAAGTTGTGGTAATCAAATACACCTTGCAAATCTGCTTTAGAAGTCCTTCTCTGAGCCAGAGGAAAACCTGTTAGAATATTTTTCTACCAGCTTTCAAAGTGGCCACCAGTTTATTTTTAATCACGCTTAACATGTTAAGTTCCAACCTTAAAGATGCCTCATCAGCTAGTATTTGTCCGTTCTATTGTATGTGGATCAAAATATTGGTCCAAAGAGCAAATCGTATGGTAAATATCTCACTTACAGGTTATTGCAATTAAATGCATCTGTTCAGCTGGGGCACCACATCTGCTTGTAGATTTGTGCTGGGATAATGTTAGATTCTGTACTTGGAAATCAATCCTGAAAATTAATAGCAAATGGGCCAATACCCACTTCTGTGCATTTTTACCTTGTTTTTAATATACAACCTTTTTACAGAGCATATACCTGAAAAGATATTTACTAAAGAAAGAGAGAGGAATATACATATTATTGCACATTTTCATCTTAAGAACAAAGAGTAAATAATTTGGCTTTACTCTTTTTTCAAAGCTTCCACCCCAATATCATTAATACCAAGCCACCACTTAAAGCTGGAACTGTATAAACTTATGGTTAAACCTATCACTTAACTGTTAATGCTGCATACATGCCTAAAACCTGTCAGATGTCAAGATAGCAGCTGAACAGAAAAGTTTAGTGAACATGCTGACCTTTAAAAACTACACTGATTACACTTTACTGAGGACCGCACTATGTCTGAGTAGTTTGGTATTTAGCTGATAAAAAAAGAACACGTGACTTGCTTCTTATTCTTCACCAATATGCTCATGGTGGGGCATTTCAATAAACTATTTATTATTAGAAGGAGCCACAAAACAGTACTAAAGAGATCATATCATCACATTTAGGAAATACTAGTGTTGTCATTTAAACAAATGGATTCTTTAGCAGTTCCAATATGCCGGAAACAAAACACTTTCACATTACAAGTATTGTAATTTGGCTATGTATTCTAGACCTCATGTTGCTCATAAACACATGTTTGCAAGTTCAAGCGTTCTGGTTACAGAAAAAATGATTTGCTGGCTAAAAGCAGGTTAATTTATTGCATTGCAAGGGCTGTCAATTTAATATTGCTTTAAGTTATCAAGTGTCCAGTTGTTACAGAACCCTTATTCTATTTGGACAAACTGCACTGCAGTTAAGCCACATGCCTTAGCAGCAGGCTATTTATTCAGTAACTTGCTACCAGCCACCTGCATCTTGGTAAGATTCAACTGAAAACTCTGAAAAAGCTAAAGGTCTGTTCATACTGCAGACAAGATAATGGTTATACTTTGGGTGGAGGGGAGGGGATAAAGAAGTAATTTTTAAAAAGCGTAAGAAATATCAAAACAGAACTGTTGTGTACAAGCATTTCAGAAGCAGCAGCAGAAAACAGATTAAACTGCTTCACTTCTAATACATACCGACTGGTCTGTTTGCAGACCCTCAAAAACTTAACACTATAACAAGTGACAAAACAAGAAGCAACTTCTGACAGTAGGATTGGACCATAGAAAAAAGCTGTTTAGATATATACAAGTTATTCTTCAAAAATCAGTTTTATTACATTGGGACATGTATACAACCTGCTTTTTCTTTAATGTTCAGGATACTGGAAAGGCTTGACATTATCCCCCAAATCCAGTTGAGGCTGTCCTGAGAAGAATTTAAGTGCTCATACATAAATTGGATGATACTGTCTGTGACTGAGTTTTTTCCTACAAGTTGGGCAAGAGTTAGCATTTCTAAGGGAGTCACGGAGGCACTGACTGCAGAAAACATGACCACATTTGGTTGCCACGATAAGTCGTCCACTCTGTATAATCTAGAAGGAAAAAAAAATGAATTGGAAGCATACAAGACTTGGAACTTGGTTTTACAGAAGAATCACATTACAAACTTCACATGAAAGCAAGTAGTGGCCAATGTATGCCAGCTACAATACTGTTCAGTGATTTTAAATCTGTACATTTAGACCAGGGGTCAGCAACCCTCAGCACTTGTGCCGAGCATGGCATGTGAGGCCATTTGGCTTGGCATGCCACTGCCAGCCTAGGCTCTAGGCAGCTGCTGCCAGCCACGAAGCCTGGGCTGCTCCTGACAGACAGCTGGGCAGCTGCAAGCAGCCTGGGCTCCGTGGTTGGCAGCAGCTACCTAGAGCCTGGGTCAGTTGCAGCCAGGAGGCTGCAAACATCTGCTCCGGGCTCTGGCATCAGCTCTAGTGGCGGGTGCGCGTGCGCCTCGGAGCAGACGGTGTGGGAGGGGCCTGAGGCAGTGCAACCCTGGCCTCTTCCCCACTGCCGGCACATTGCTGATGACTGGGCTCCAGAGCCCGGCGCAGCTGTTTGTAGCCAGCTTGGGGCATCTGCAGCAGGCAGTGGGCAGGCTGCAAACAGCTGCGAAGGGCTCCACAGCCTCAGCACTGGCTCCATGCTGGCGGTGACTGCGCGGGCACCTCAGAGCAGACAGCAGGAGAGCTGTGCTGCCTCAGGCCCTATCCCCACCATCCGCTACAAGGAGCGTGTGCATCTGTTGGTATGGAGCTGATGCGGGAGCCCGGAGCAACTGTTTGCAGCCTTCTGGCTGCAGCCGGCCCAGGCTCTGGTAGCTGCTGCCAACCACGGAGCCCAGGCTGCTTGCAGCTAAGCCCGCCTGACTCCCGCCTGTTCCGAGCCCAGCCCCCCACCAGGATGGGCCTGGCACTGCCCCTTGCCAGGAGCACTGCACCTTTTGAGGGCTTAGCTGTGCATGGGTGGGTGGGTAGTTGAGCTGATGGTCAGGATCTGGGCTGGGGCCCTGACCAGCTGCAGTGCAGCCCAGGGGCTGGCTCCCCAGGGAAGCACAGGGGCTCTGGTGGGACCAGGGCATTGTTGGGTTGGACTCTGTCCAGCGGCCCAGGACCCTGGCTCCATGCGCCTGCACATCTGGTTCTGTATGTTTGTCTGCCTCTGTCTGGTTTTGTGAGTCTGTGTGCCCACGCATCTGGTTCTGTATGTGTCTGTCTGTCTGTCTGTCTGCTCCGAGTGCATTCTGGTTCTCTGTGTGCGTGTGCCTGATTTTCTTTCTGCTCTCCTTTTTCTCTCTCTCTCATTGCAACGTGCTCAACCAAAAAGGAATATACAACAAAGGCAACATTTATGATTATTAAATATACTAACATGCACTGTGTCCTGGCATGAAAAGGACTCGCATCAGGGAGCTGGGGCCTTATCTCTGTAAGAAGACAGAGCAGCAAGAGTAAAGGCTGCCCTTTAATTGAGAGTTTAAAAGCCCACGTGTGGGCTGAGACAAGAAATTGGATGGGAGAAGGGGCTCCTGGAACCATAAGCCCTGTACCAAAGCTAGAGGGGGCAGAAAAGCTTTCCCAGGAGCAAGGGAAGGTGCTTGCTGGGGAAGGGCAGAGACTCAGCAGCTTGTATGCAACAGGAAACAGAGTTCTCCAGAGGCCCAACACTGCAGGCATTTATACATGTGCCCAACGCCTGGTCCGATGTGCATCTGAGCTGACTATTAATAAGCACGCTCCAGCAGCCTCTACATCACATGTCTTCAGTTTCCCCATGCTTCAGAATGACGTGGGGGGTGGGGGGCGGTTAATTAAAGCTCTAACAAGCTTTAAAGCTCCCTGCCACCATTTTGAAGTGTGGGACGCTAAATACACAAGATGCTGCATGTGCTTATTAAGAGCCTCCTGAGCTGTTCTAATTAAAGCACCTCCCTACCCTGGAGCACATGTAAAGATGCCCCAAGCATTCAGGTGTCCCATTCCAAGGGGCTCACTCTCTCCTATGGTGTTTGTTTAACAAAAAAGTCTCCTCATTCCAAGTAAAGTGGTAGCTTTACTGCTTTTGACATACTGTTTACCCAGTGAGGGAAGGCTTTTTGTTGTTGTTGTTGTTGTTAAAGCATGTTACTTCCATGCTGAAGTTAACTGGTGAACTGGGAGTGGCTGTAAGACAGGGGTGGGCAAAATGCAGCCCATGGGCTAGATGCGGCCCGCCAGGCCATTCTATCCGGCCCACGAGGCCCCTAAAAATTTATAAAACAAATATTTATTTGCCCCTGGCTGCCTGTCATACAGCCCTTGATGGCTTGCCAAAACTCAGTAAACAGCCCTCTACCCAAAATAATTGCCAGCCCCTGCTGTAGGAGGTGACTGCAGAGGCCACCATATGGTACCAGCAGGGCATGCCAAGGCTTAAGATCTGCTAGGGCAGGACATAAGCCAGAGATGGTCTGGGTCTGAGGGGGCCAAGGGCCCAAGAGGGGTGAAATACAGGGCCAAGGGTCCAGAATCTGAAGTGGGCTGGAGCTCATAACCTGGGACCTGGTGCCGTGGGTCTAAGCTAAAAGGAGAATAGCTAGAAAAAGTGGGTGGAAGACAGGAAGGTCGGGACCCCAGCAAAGGCTGGGAGGCCTGAGCAGGCCAGACTGTATATTGAGGCAAAGTGCCTCCTAAGACTGATAACATCTGCAAGGCATGGCCATGACTATGGGGGCAGGAGGTCATGATTATTGGCCCTAATGTTCAACTGAGGTTCTCTCACCCCACAGAATTTGGGGGCAGAGTAGCTCAAAAGATCACACCCCAACAAAAGACACTTAACTACCTGGTCTCTGGTGGCAGCCTCCCTTATTAAAAACCCTAAAGATCAAGTCATGGCAGGCAAGAGGCAGGAGGCAGAAAGAGGGAACAAGGAAGCACAAGCAGGCTGGTCTGACTACTAGGGCATCAGATACCAAGCAGGTTGCCTGAGCCTGTTATAGACACAGTTTAACACAGTTCAATGTTTTCCACTACAGAAACACTATCAGATATAAAAGTCTTACCTCTGAATAGCCATCCATACAAATTGGACAACTAATGTTACCTGAAGGCCTTAAAAAAAAAAAAAAAAAGAAAGAAAGAAAAAGAAAGGGGGAGGGGAGAAGATTAGTTCTATTACACAATAAAAATTATAGACAATCTTATCTGGTAATTTTTATCTTGGTCCTAGTGATTACTTCAGGCAAGAATTGCTTCTTTTCCTCAGACTCACAAAAGCAGGCTTTGTCTAAATTTATTATGTTGAACAAAGCCTCTCATGATCCTACAACAACCTCAAATTGCAACATTTAACAATTGGTTAGGATTTCCACCACCTCACAAGCAAGCAGGCCTTTGGCTTTCATTCATCTTTTTTGTTTACTGTAGCTTAAGGCATTGTACAGGGCACAAGGACCCTAGAGAAGACCCACTTGTCTTCAGATGATTACAGAAACCTTGGTTCGAAGAAAAGCTAGCTGGTCTTGGCAGAAGTTGATTTAACAGTTCAGCTCACTCTGCAATCTCATTTTAGAATAGATAACAAACATTTCAAAATGCTAGTTTAACAGCACTCCAAACTCACAGAAAAGTAAACCAAAAATGAGCACCTTCCATCACGAGCTTTTCAAATATATATATTTTATTAAATATTTGACTACTTCAGTGTAATAAGCTACTCTTATGTAAAAGCACGAGTAGCTTATTAGAACCACATTTTTAAATTAACCCACGTGCCCCCCCACAAAACAACCAACGACAGCGGAAGAGGTAGTTCATTTAGTATCAGATAAATAGGTTTGGCAGGATTCAATTTTAATCAATTATTAACTATTTCACCTCACACTGAGACCAACAGAAAAATATTTCCATCAGTAATAACTGAAATTTATAGAAAGGGGACCATAACAAGAAACCCCTATTCCTGTTCCTGGACAGTGGAGAAAGAAACAGAGGGACAGAGGGTGGAGTTAGAGAGGAAAACAATGGGCACCCTAATGACTCATCAGTTAACTGCTTGTTCACAGGTATAGGGAGCTGGCTGGAAGGAAATAGCAGGATACTTAAATGCCTGTCCAAATGCAGGGGGGACAGTCGAGACTCCAGGCAGGTGGCAGGTGACAGCGGGGTTCTGCCCAGCTAAATGCAGGGGGCAGAGGGTGGCCACCACCTCTCCTTGTGTTCCCAAAGCTCTGGGAATGCTGCTGCTTGCCTCTTCTGGTCCCTGCCCACCAGACTCTTTTCTGATAAATTAACAGAATGATTTAAAGCAGGTATGATTTATTGATTTACAGATATTTACTTTTTATATTTTGACATGATTTTATAAAGCTTTTAACAGTATATTATCATTACAATCCCCAAAGCTTAAAATTGATAAAAATCAAAATAAATGCTTAAGAAGATTGATTTTAGCTGTCAAAATTATTAATTTTTATACTTTAAATTCTGCCAAGCCTACAGATAAATCTTGTTTGCCTTGTAGTTTAACCTATTCTACAGATCAACTTCTCTACCTGAAGAACATACCTATGTCTTAATTTTACAATCCTGCATTTTATTTTAATAGAATTAAACCTTTATACCTGTAGCTACACGTTTGATTATTGTACTAACATCAACATATGAAAATTAAATTTAGACTCCAATTGTGTAAAATGCCACTCACTTGTATACAATAGAAATTGTTACACTAAGTGACCAAAACATACAGGGAAAACAAGTGCCAACATTTTCTGTGTCTCTGGTTATTTAATGCATGAAGACAATGTTGTTTCTTTATACTGCTAGTTTACATCACACAGACACTTTATGCAGAATAAGCCTCAACAGTAAGGGCCAGCACTAGTAAGGTACAAGTAAATTAAGAGACACCTGTGCTTAAGAAGTAGGTTTCATATAT